AACCGCTCTCCAGTGGGTCTATTGAATGTTTTTCTCTTGCCTTTCAGCCTACCTCTTGTTGTTTCTCTCTCTGCTGTGGGTTAGTATGTGTTAGTGCTTGTGCTCTGAAGGCCCCTCTGTGGCATTAATGGCCCGTAGTCAGTTATTGACTTTCTGCAAAATCCAGTTGCAGTAAATTCAGTGAACGCAAACTCCAAACCATGGACTGGATGATTTCTGAACTCTGCCAACATGGGAAAGAGGCATCCCATAACTCATCTGTCTTCAAGAGTGACAGGTGCCAAGTCATGCCACCCTCCTTTCAGCTTTCTTTCCTCCCGCCATGTGTGGGAACAACCAGGGCTCCAACTTAAAGGAATATTAACTGTCATCAATGCTCCCTCTAAGCTGTGGAGTCTTGTGAGCAAAAATTCTACTTTGTGAGCTACTGGCATTACAGTTATGAGCGAGCGATTTGGCTACTGCATAAATTAGTTTGCTCTGGAGCCCTCCTTCCTGAGCTAAGGCAAAAATGGGTGAGCCGGAGGCTAAAAAACTGTGAGCTAGCTCACACTAACTCAGCTTAGAGGGAACACTAAACGATCATAAATTGTTTCGGGGGGGCAGCCATGCTGGTCTGCAATAGAACAGCCAGATTCAAGCCTAGTAGTCCCTTAAAGACTTTGGGGTAGAAGCTTCCAAGAGTCAAAGTTGTCTGAGAAAGGGAGTTTTGACTCTCCAACGCTTGTACCCCCAAAACCTTAATCGTCTCTTAGGCACTTCCAGACCTGAATCTAGCGATCACAAATTGTTTCATAAAGAGGAAACACTACCAAAGGGAGAAAATAAATCAAGGGCATGCGGCTCACGGCAGAGTAAGTACTTATAATTGAGCAGTAATGGGGAAATTTGCCTATGAGAAAGAAATCTCTGTTCAGGAACAACTGAGAATTTCAAATTCAGCATGTGATAAATTTACTTTAAAAGGTATGAAGCACTAATCACAAATATGACTTCGTTCTCAAAATGAAAAGCATTTCTCACCTTAAACAATTTTTTCACGTGAACGTAGTCGTAGGAGACGTTAAACTTAGTGAGCAGTTGCAAAGTCTGGTCTATATTGATCTTGCCACCCATAAATTCAGGAGTGATTATGTCTAAGAACCATGTAGAAAAGAGGAAGTTAAGGAATTTTTCAACAAGCAGAGGCTGTCTGTCTAACACAGGGAATTGTTTCAAGTATGGGACAATCACATGAACAAAATAATTGTTTCATGTCATCCTATGGCCAGTACTGACTGGCCTGCCGTACTGAACTAGAGGAGGGATGGAGCAACCCACCCAGTAAGAAGGCCAAAACTGACTTAAATCGAAAGAACTCACTGAACCTCAGTCAGGGATCCGGTTCCAAAGATGTTTGCTGAATAGCAGACCTATAAGGAATGGCTAAAGTACGAAGGTCATTTGTCTTTTCCTTATGTGATCATTTATTAAAATAGCAGTGCTCTTTCAGCATTTGATGTGACATTTCTTGAAATAGAAACTTTTCATATTAGAAGTGATACATTTCTAGATAAGCCTTTTGTTACAAAAATGCGTGCAGAGTTTCCTATACTGTTTAACTCCTGGATTTGGGACTCTCCTTAATAATATGCAAGGGTTTTTTTTTTCTCATTTACTTGCATAACATACACACACAGCTGTGTTCACGTATATATTTATTTGTGTATTGTGGACCTCACCATTCTACTCGGGGAGCATCCATGACAGCATACAGTAAAAATAAATAGTATAATAAAAGAGCATAGAAAATAACTATTAAAGGTAGAACAAGAAAGAGCTGATGCAGTTCCAATGCACAAGATTCAGATCTCAGTTGTTCAAAATCTTTCACACTTAATCCTGCCTTGTTAAAACACAACAATGAAAACGGTATTTGAATGAAGCAAAAACTAGCCAATGCTAGTTGATCGACTGTCTGTTTGGAAGACTGTTCAGGCTACAGGTAAACTTGTATTTTACACTTACACCTGACCTCTGGAAGACCACCAGGCACCTTATACATTCATCCAGAAATCAAAGGTGACAGGTGTATTACCCATCAGGAATGACCGCTCTTGTGTGCAAAGGATCCTTTTATTGAGGGGAGACAATACAACCCCTCACATTTTCATCTGTTTTTAATGAGTGGGGGCTGCTGCATAACACAATTTACAGATTACATTTTTATGCAAGTTTATTTTGGAGGATTCATATCTTTCTAACCAACTCCAAAAATTGCTGATGCACGATTCTATAGCACGATTATTTCCCCGACCAAAAGACAGCAAACCTTGTGTGTGTGTACACACACAAGCAAAAAAACCCCACCAACTTTTAATCCCACCCAGTACAGAAAATTTCCAGCCTGACAACAACCTGACAAGGTCGACCAGGGGCACAGGAAGGAGGGGTAGCAAAGAGCATCATGGCCGAATGGGGGACTGAAACCTGGACCTCCGCAGTCCCCAAATGGGCGCCCCTAACCACTGGTCATGCCGGCCACATGACCACGGAAACGTCTTCGGACAGCGCTGGCTCTTCGGCTTGGAAACGGAGATGAGCACCGTAACCCTGGAGTCGGACTCGACTGGCTTTCGAGCAAGGGAACCTTTCTCTTAACTACTACCCCACTCTGCCAAAGCAGACGGGGGACGCTCCCCGAAGGAAGGCTGGATAGAGAGGGGAACTCTTGGAAGAAGGATATTTAGTATTATCCATGGCGCCGCCGTCGTCGTCGTCGCCGCTTCCTCCTCAGCATGGCCTCTGGCGCCCGTTCCTCACTGCGGTGGTCTCAGCAGCTCCCAGCGCGACATGCCCGCCTTCTCCCGCACGGCCGCCCCCTCCCCTCCCCTCCCCTCCCCTTCCCCTCTGGCGCAGCCGCCCTCGCAGCCAACGGCAAAAGGCGCCCCGACGCCGCGCGCGCCCAGCACGCGGAGGGGCTCCGTGACGTCACAAACGCCTCGCGGCGGGCCGTCGTTCCCTCTCGGCCTTGCCACACACACACACACACACACACCCGCGCGCACCCGTCGCTCTGCATTCGCCCGCCCCAATCCTAATCGTTCCCATTCCTTTTCGCGCCCCTCCTCCCAGGTCTCTAAGGCAACCCCAAGAGACCCCCTCCGCCAGCTCCCGCTCTTTCCTCGACCTCCAGTCTTGAGGGTGGTCCCTGGCCTCCTAGTGATAGCTGGAGATATCCCGCTATTGCGACTGATCTCCAAGTGGCAGGGATCTCCAGCTACCACCTGGAGGTTGGCAACCCTACTTAAGACGAGGCCGCGGAAAGCGGGACCTGGCCGGGGCGGGCTGGTGGGGTTGCCTTGGAGACCACTTAGGGGAGGGGTGAAAAGGAGCGAGAACGGTTAAGGCTGGGCTCTTCCCCCGACGGTCAGATCACAATTCTTTGTATGTTTTTTTTTTTTTTTTAAATATACGATGTGAGTCAAAAGTGTTAGACAAATGACCCAATTTAGCAGTCGATATGGGTGTAAAAGACAAGAAAAAAAAATATATAGACCTATTGTAAATGTATAAGTTTTAGTAGACTGATTTACCCTATATTTTGTAGCTAGAAGTTGTTCAGTTTTTGTTTAGGGTAAAGTTGTTAGTTGTGATGGAATGTAGCAACATTCATTTATTATGTATTGTAAGGTAGTAAAATTATATATATTTTTAATTAGGATTGGGCTCTTGGAGAAAATAGCCACTTTGGAAAGTGGACTCTCTGGCATTATACCCTCCTGAAATCCCTCCCAAAACCCCACCCTTTTCAGGCTCCACCCCCCCCCAAATCTCCAGGAATTTCCCGACCTGGAGCTGGCAACTGCAAGGTGCCGAAACTTTTTTCTTCTCGGGGGGGGGGGAGTGGCATGGCCGAAGTTAAAACCGTCCTCTGTTCTAATTTAAAAGCCCTTCATGCACACAGTAATGTTTTTTCTTCACAGAAGCTGGGTTTTTTAAAAAATCTAGAATTCACACTGGATTCAGCATTATTTATTTCAGTAATTTAAAATGAATATATCCTGCTTTAAAAAGTAGCCTAAGGCAGCTTTCAGAACACATAATACACATCAAGGCGTAAGGCACCTGAAGCCTCCTGTGGCGATGGTTGCCAGCTCTGGGCTGGGAAACACCAGGAGATTTTGGAGGCCTCAGGAGGGCAAGGTTTGGGGAGGAGAAGAACCTCAGGAGGGCATAATGCCATTGAGTCTACCTTTCAAAGCAGCCATTTCCTCCAGGGAAACTGATCTCTTGTTGTCTGGGGATCAGTAGTAATAGCGGGGGATCTCCAGGCCCCACCTGGAGGATGGCAACTCTACCTGTGGCTCAGTGGAAGAGCCCCTACTTTGCATGCAGAAGGTCCCTGGTTCAATCCCCGGCATCTCCAGTTAAAAGGACCAGGCAGTAGGCGATGTAAAAGGCCTCAACCCAAGACTCTGGAGAGCGGCTGCCAGTCTGAGTAGACAATACTGACCTTGATGGACCAAGGGTATGATTCAGTACAAGGCAAATTCATGCATGTGTGTGTGTGTGTGTGTGTGTGTGTTCAGCATAAGCAATCACTGGGGTTAATGTCTCAGTAGTAGAGCATCATTGTGGTATGCAGAAGGTCCCGGGTTCAGTGGGGGGGGGGACAACATTGAGAGGGCTTCTAGTGTCCTGGCCCCACTGGTGGACCCCTGATGGCACCTGGTATTTTTGGACACTGTGTTACCGAGTGTTGGACTGGATGGGCCATTGGCCTGATGCAACATTGGCGTCTCTTATGTTCTCTGGCTTCTTCTCCTAGTTGAAACGATCAAGTAGCAGGGGAAGTGAAAGACCTCAGTCTGAGACCCCTGGAGAACTGCTGTCAGCCTGAGTAGACAATACAGACCTTAGCAGAACGTTGGCACATCTGAGTAATGAATCAGGTCTCCAGGATCTCTGGCCAAGTAAGGACTTTTCCCAGAATGTAAGACCTGAGATCCTTTTTAATTGGCGATGCCAGGGCAAGGACTGAATGCTACTTACATGCTCACTAGTTTACCTGTCCCAGTATTGTTGACTCTTATTGCTGTCATCACTAGGGTCTCCAGGAGGGTTGCCAGCCTCCAGGTGGGGCCTGGAGATCTCCCACTTTTACAACTGATCTCCGGCTGACAGATCAGTTCATCTGGAGAAAATGGCTGCTTTGAAGGGTGGACTCTATGGCATTGCACCATGCTGAGGCCCCTCCCCTCCCCAAACCCTGCCGTCTTCCGGATCCATCCCCCCCCCAAAAGTCTCCAGGGATTTTCCAACCCAAACCTGGCAACCCTAGTCTCCGGCACTGTAAGGTCTTTACCAGTACCTGCCCCTGAGATCCTGTAACTGAGAATGCTTGAACTTCTCTACTACTGCTGTGTCACGGCTGCTTTCAAATTAATCAACTTTGGCTATTCCTTCAATAATGTCATAGAGTCCACCCTCCAAAGCAGTGGAACTGATCTCTGTCCTCTGGAGATTAGTTGTAATTCTAGGAGATCTCCAGACTTCACCTGGAGGTTGGCAACCGTGATTATTACTGATGGAGACCAGTTTCTATCCCTTTTTTCTAAACCATGCATAATGTTATAAACCCATCTTGTCCCTTCTTTAGATGACTTTCCCCTAAACTAAAAAGCTCTGAATGTTTTCCCCCCTCTTCTTTAATCCCTTTACAATAGTAATTGTCCCTTTCATGTATTTTGCAACACCAGGATTTTAATTACATCAGTACAGTAACAAGTGTTGCTAATCTTGCCTGCACAAATGAAAGAACGTGACATCCATCAGGCCCAATAATTTTTTTTGTAGAAGGGATTCAGAAGTTTCTAACAATAACAATAATTACTTGATTAGGCAAATTTTTTGTTACCCTTATCGCATTACTTCTCACAAGGCGACATGAGGTCCATGGCTGAATAGGGATTTGAATTCAGTTCCAAGGAAAATTTTTGTCCACCTGCTAATAAACCATAAAAGCTTTGCTAACCTCTAGCACAAGGTCTGGTTGCCTCTATACGGGGCTACAGGAGACTGGTGAACCACTTTCTGATGAACTGTTGGTTGCTGTATTGGGTGGATGTTTGTTTGATTCAACATGGCAGATCTTCTGTTCTTAAAATGAGAGTGCATATTCAGGATCTCTTAACAGTTAAGGCATAACTAATCTGTGTTAATTGATGATGAGTATGTATTCCTGTTTGGTAAATCGGGAGTTCTAGGGAAAAGAAAGCCGATAGTGGCATTCAGTTCCCCACATCTCTCATATGACCTCTAGCATTTTAATTTTGATTTGTGATCAAGCATTTTGTTCCAGATCCATCATTCCCAGCTGTGTTTAGACTTTTTTAGGGTTGGTGAAAACATGGCTAGTCAATGCCCTGTACAATTTTCTGTCAGGATCTAAAACTATCGTATCAAGATCTAAACTATCATATCACGGCAACTGCCAAGTCTAATATGTGGTCCACCGCAATCTACTTCGAAATGCATCATTATTCAAATGTCTTGGGTGGGCAGGGCCGTAGCCAGGCTTTTTGACTTTGGGGGGGGGGCTTAAATAAGTTGGGAGGGCACCCCCACAACCCCCCAGGCTGTGCCAGGAGTGACGAGAGAGTAAAAAGGGGGAGGGAAGCAAAGAGAGAGAGAGAGAGGTAAGGGTGCCGGCAGGGCATATAAAAAATAAAATAAACCAGCGGGATAGGAAGTTGGGAGGCCTGGGCGGTAAGTAGGGTTCCCAAGTACTTACCGTGATCTGGCAGGGGAAACATGCTCCCCGGCCGGACCATTCCTCCCTGTAACACCATGCCGTGGCCGGGAAGTGACGCTGGGCGACGCTCTGGCAGTGGGACTGAAAACTCGATGGTACCATCGAGTTTCCAGCCCCATTGCCAGAGCGTCGCCCAGCGTCACTTCCTGGCGACGGCATGGTGCGGCGCGTCTGTAGTCCCCGCAGGAATGATCCTGCGAGGACGTCTGTGTCCCCCGCTGAATCACGGTAAGTACTTGGGAAGCCTGGCGGTAAGTCGGGGGGGGGGCAGCCCCAAGACGCCCCACTGTAGCTATGGGCCCACGGATGGAAAATCAGAGAGACTGGTTAATCAGAAGATAAGTGGGAGTGTTTTTATAGAAGATAACAAACACTGACTCCAAGGGAGCCACATTCAGCTTAAGTAATCAGGCGATCTGGACAACCAAGGTTGAGCTAATGGAGTGCCGCTGTAATTCCCAATTAACTTGGTCGTAGCCAGTGTTCCCTCTAGCTAGCCCACAGTTTCTTAGCCTCCAACTCACACATTTTGCCTTAGCTCAGGAAGGAGGGCTCCAGAGCAAACTAATTTATGCAGTAGCCAAATTGCTTGCTCACAACTTTAATGCCAGCAGCTCACAAAGTAGAATTTTTGCTCATAGGACTCCACAGCTTAGAGGGAGCATTGGTCGTAGTGTCTATGTGACATGGCACTCCAACACGGTGGAGATTTAATCCCCAAATGACATGTTACTAGGTAGCAGCTTAGTGTGCCAGGCAATGTATCAATGGCGGTAACCCATCGCCACTGTAGCAGCTCACCCTTAAAGTCAACAGTGAGCCAACAAAGGGTATTTCACTGTTGCCACAAAGTGGGTGCCAGCACACATGCTGACTCAGCGCCATAGGTACATGCAGCTGTTTCCTGAGCTCTAACATAACCGGGCAGATCTATGGTGCCGCTGCTGAAATATACATAACTGGACACGGGTAAGCTGGGGGTAGAATTGGAAATGGCCCGTTTATGCGGCATGTTAAAGGCGCTAACGCCCCCAAAGAGACAGCAACATTGAAGCAACATATGCCCCTGAACTGCTAAGCTGCTAGAATGGGATTGCAATTGACAAACAGCATGGCAGGAAAGTGCTGCCCTACTTTCCTTGCATTAAAAAGAGGCTGTCGTCAACACCAGCGAGGACGGCTTTATATATTCTGCAGCTACATAGACCTCTGGGAACTGGGTGACAGATCTTATTTCTCTTTCTCAGCCTTAGATAAATGTTCTTCAGTATGGCCAAGAGAAGAGAAGGACCTGTCCCAATGACTTTCTACAGAAATAATTTGTTTTTTATTTATTTACAAAAAAGGGAATAAACCTTTCTGCCCTCACAAGGGCCAGCAAGGCAGCTCACAAATTGAAACAGAAATAAATTAACGATAAAACATCATTAAAAAAACAATGAAAATCAGAATGATAACATGGTGAGGGGGGGGGGGAAATCACTGCAGGAAAGCCAAATGAAACTAGTAAGTCTTCACCCGCTGGAAGAAAATGGCAACAGAAGGGAACAGATAAGTCTCCCTGGGGAGACAATTCCAGTGCCTGGCTCTCTCCTGGGTTGCCACCACTGTTCCCTCTAAGCTAAGTTAGTGTGAGCTAGCTCAGTTTTTTAGCCTCCAGCTGACAGATTTTTGTCTTATCTCAGGGAGGATGGCTCCAGAGCAAACTAATTTATGCAGTAGCCAAATCGACCGCTCACAACTTTCATGCCAGTAGCTCACAGAGTAGAATTTTTGCTCACAGGGCTCCACAGCTTAGAGGGAGCATTGGTTGCCACCCACCTAATCTGAAAAGCAGGGCCTCCAAAGATAACCATAATAATGGGGTGGGTCCTTCAAATATGCTTCAAAACTGTATCATATTATTTGGTTAAAAAGGTAAAGGTTCCCTTGCTCGAAAGCCAGTCGAGTCCGACTCTAGGGTTGCGGTGCTCATCTCCGTTTCAAAGCCGAAGAGCCAGCGCTGTCTGAAGACGTTTTCCGTGATCATGTGGCCGGCATGACTAAACACCAAGGTGCACGGAACGCTGTTTCCTTCCCACCGAAGTGGTACCTATTTATCTACTTGCAATTTCTTGCTTTCGAACTGCTAGCTTGTCAGGAGCTGGAACTAGAGACGGGAGCTCACTCCGTCATGCGGCAACTCAGGTCTCGAACTGCTGAACTACTGACCTTCGACAGCCTGCAGTTCAGCGTCTTAACCACTTGAGCCACCGCAGCTCCATTATTTGGTTAGAGATGTGAAATTTCTCCTGGTATTGATAGAATTAATCTGATCAAGACTTGCCTGGTTATCGATACCGGCTAAATATCAGGAGAAACTTCCTAACTGTCAGAGTGGTTGAGCAGTGGAACAGACTGCCTCGGGAGGTGGTGGATGCTCCTTCGCTGTACGTTTTCAAGCGGAGGCTGGATGACCATCTTTCGGGTATGTTGTAGGGCTATCTTTCGGCTATGCTCCTGCAGAGTGCAGGGGGTTGGACTAGATGTCCTGCAAGGTCCCTTCCAACTCTAACATTCTATGATTCTGTCTGTAGACTGGCAGTACACACTAGTACTTTGCTATTTATGGAGGAAATGCGGGAAACGGCCCCAAGTGAAAAACTTACTGGTGATTCTGTTGTCAATGTGGACAGTAACAGAGTGTTTTGTGGTTCATGGACCCCATACAAAGCACATGCCGTGCTGATTTCCACAAGTGCTATTATAGTCTAAATATCCTAAATTAAGATAGATGCTAAAGCTTTGGAAGAGAAGATGATAAAAACAATTTTTTGTACTGTTTTGGAAGTGGTATCGGCGATCTTTCAAGGGGTTTATTTTTTTAAAAAACACACACCAAGATTGTGATCCTAGGCCCAATGAGCTAGAGTAAGCCCCATTGAACAAACTCTGGAAAACACCTTAATTCCCTTGAAAAGTGTCCAAAAGCTGGTGTTTAGTATGTTGGGTTTTTAAAAAAAAATTATTTTCAGCTTCATCACTTCAAAAACAAGCCATCATGTCCAAAGAGGGTGAATCCCCTGAGGAAGAGAAAACAAAAATGATCTGCGGATTTCTACACCAGGCCCCTCCGAATGAATTCAATGACATCTTTGAAGATCTCCGCATTCTGGTTATGGATGATCAGTTGATGAGGACTGAAGCCGCTCACGAGTGCGCCAATCACAACAGGAAGAACTTCAAAGCGGTGAAATTACTAAGTGGAAATTCTCTGGTGACTCACTACAATGATCTCAAAGGAAACCGCTTCTTTGATCCACAGAGCACGTTTTCGTTCAGATATGATCACCTGACTGGAAGGACGGATAAATTTTTGCTACAAGGCACCATAGGAGATGACGCAGAGTTATGGAGATCAACCCTTAATGCTGCTTTAAACACGTACATGAAGAATTACTTCTCTTCAGGGACTTGCTGTGTTTTCCGAAAAGACCTCAAGAGCAACCCTTACTTTGTGGTGTGCCTAGAAGGCCATCAGTTTCGGACTTCAGAATTTAATGGCCTCTGGACATCAGAGTGGACATTTGCCTTCACTCCGCCAACGACAGAGGTCACGGGGAACTATCGGCTGCAGATACACTATTTCAGGAAAGCTAACTGGCATCTGGCAGTAGACAAAACAGTGCAGAGGTCCGTGTCCTTAATTAACCGTGTCCAATTTGCCATGGCATTTACCCAATTAATTGAGGCCGAAGACAATGAATTTCAAATGGGTTTAGAGGGAAACCTCCAGGAATTGTCAGTCGATCTATGGAAAACACTGCGGAGAAGGATTCCCATCACTCGTACTGTCATTGGCTGGGATAAACTGCTGAGTAAAGAGAGTACCAAGGTGAAGGGGTTTGAAAGCAGTGTATCATTAAGCATGCTGAAGGTTCTGACATGAATGAAATACAGGCCAAATATAACAACAATCAGTGCATTCTTGTCGATTCACGTGATTTATTGCCTGACTGTTCATGAGAATGTGCAATCTTTCAGCACCATGAATAGTATCCAGGTCAGAAGCGTCTAGGCTGGAGCGCGTATTTGTTTCATTTCATTCGTTCACTGTGCTGGACAAAACACAAGAGTGCTTTGCAAAGGGAAAGATCTTCTTCCTATCATGTGAGAACAAATTGGGGCTGCGCATCTTGTTCTGCAACAAAAGATAAACCCCCAAAGGTGTTTATCGGTATCTTTAAGGTAAAGGTAAAGGTTCCCTTGCTCGAAAGCCAGTCGAATCCGACTCTAGGGTTGCGGTGCTCATCTCCGTTTCAAAGCCGAAGAGCCAGCGCTGTCCGAAGACGTTTCCGTGGTCATGTGGCCGGCATGACTAAACACCACGGTGCACGGAACGCTGTTACCTTCCCACTGAAGTGGTACCTATTTATCTACTTGCAATCTCTTGCTTTCGAACTGCTAGGTTGGCAGGAGCTGGAACTAGAGACGGGATCTCACTCCGTCATGCGGCACCCGGGTCTCGAACTGCTGAACTACCGACCTTCCACAGCCTGCAGTTCAGCGTCTTAACCACTTAATGTAGAGGCTTGTAAATATCTTCAACACAACCTTGTAAAACGGCTACTACTTTTCAAGGCTTTTCTTGGGGGTTTCTAAAAATGTTGCAGGGAAAGCAGGTTTCTTATGACTGCTCTTCTATCATATCTGGCTGATTGGTGGTCCTAGGAAGTTTCCACCTTACCGTATTGCATATAATGCAGGTTGCTTACTTGAAAAAGTGGTTGCTGCATTACACCACTGAAATGGTACATATGCCATCCCATATTGAAAAGTATATGAATAAGGAAATGAGGACAGTTATGGGGGGGGGGGTCTTTGACTCCCTGCAGGAATACTGGACAAAATTGATGTCTCAGATTTTCAGTTGAAGTAGCTTGTGTGTGCCATATTATCCCTGCAAAAAAAGTTAAGTGTATGAACACTAAAATGTATACCCCCAAATATGGAAGTACTTTTTGCAATAATCTACACACAGATTTGGGGGATATTTTAACCATGGTGTCTTAGGTTTGCCAGGTCCCCCCTCGCCACTGGCAGGAGATGGGGAAGTAGGGCTGTAGTCTGGCTCCGCTGCAGAGGGGCGCGCAGCAGCGGCTCTTTGGTGCGTGGGGGGCGGGGGCAGGGGCGGGGCACAGTTTGGCGCCCCTGAGGGCCGGCGCGCCCTAGGCGAGCGCCTAGTTTGCCTAGCAGGCGAGCCGGCCCTGGCCACATCAAGGCTGGGAAACTCCTGGAGATTTGGGGAGGAGGACAGGGACATTAGTGGGGTACAATTAGGGCCACATTATGACTTTCATGGGTTCTCGGCACTTTTGCCATGTGGGCCCCTCCCACCATAATACTATCAATATTAAAATTATTTTTGATGTACTTTTAAGTACGTCAACATTTTATTTTATTTTCTCTTTTAGGCAAAATTCAATAGACTTTCGTGGGCCCTAAAATTTCATTCTTTCTGATGTGAGAAAAAAAATTAAAACTTTTTCTTTGACTCTAAAAGTTAATTTTTTCCCCTTCTGATTTAAAAAGAAAGTAAAACATTTTCATGAGCCCCTAAAAGTACCATGGGCCCTAGGCAGTGTGCCTACAGTGCCTAATGGAGAAGTCAGCCCAGGGTGCAATGCCATAGTGCCCACCCTCCAAAGCATCCAGTTTATCCAAGGTAACTGATCTCTGTAGTCTGGAGATGAGCTGTAATTCTGGGGTATCCCCAGGTCCTACCTGGAGGCTGGCATCCCTATGAGAAGAGTAAGTCCCCACCCCCAATTATGTCGTAGAAGAAGAGACTGGATTTATACTCTGCCCTTCACTACCTAAAGGAGTCTCAGAGTGGTTTACAATCCCTTTCCCTTCCCTTCCCCACAACAGACACCCTGTGAGGTAGGAGGGGCTGAGAGAGCTCTCTTGAGTACTGCTCGTGAGAGAACAGCTCTGAGAGAACTTGTGACTGACCCAAGGTCACACCAGCTGCATGTGGAAAAGTGGGGAATCAAACCCACTTCTCCCAGATTAGAGTCCGCGCTCTTAACCACTACACCAGGTAGTGTTACCAACTTCAGTCTTGGGAAATTCTTGGAGATTAGTGGGTGGTGCTTGGAGAGGGCGGAGTCTGAGAAGGGGAAGAGGCTCAGTGGGAATGGGGTGCCATCCAAAGCTGCCAGGGGGGCTGGTCTCTGTAGTCGGGAGACCACATGTAATTCCGGGAGAACCTCATGCCCCGCCTGGAGGTTGGCAGCCCTATGAGGTTTAGTAAAGCCCTGCTTGATAGCTGTATATTCCTCTTTCAATTAAACTTGGGGGGGGGGGAGAGACAGAGAGCTGTCTATTCAACACTAGGCAATCTTATTCCATGGAGACCTGGACTGTGGTAATAGTTGGGGATTACAGTCACAATGGAGCGTATCAGTTTACACCCCACAATGAGAAAAGATACCTTTACACATTGATCTTCTATTCTGACAGATGTATTGCTTTGCAACTGTTGACCTTATAACCTTAGCTTATTTAGTTTGTCTCTGCACATCTTCATCATGTTACGTGTTAATTTGCTGTTCAGCCCGTCTAGAAGTTTGAACCTTACCTACTATTCCAATGTATTTGAAAAAGTGCACATGCACACAAAAGCTCATACCTTGAATAAAACTTAGTCTTAAAGGTGCCACTGGACTCAAACTTTGTTCGGCTCACAATGGTGGATATGGCTGGTGTATGTATGTAAGAGTCCTGTGTGAGATTTTGTAGATGTGCTGTTAGTTCAGAGCAGTCATGATGGTTGGAGCTTCTGGGGTGTACCACAGGTAGACGCGATCGCTCCAGTTCTCTTCAAATTCCTTCTCACATCACACGCACAGGGCTCCATGATACAACTATTTCTAGCCTGAAATGCCTCACATTTGATTTTATCGCAGAAATCCCCCAATCAGCAGTGCATTCAGCCCACCACATGTAAGGCAAAAATAGTTAGGAAGAGGCATATATTTATTTGCTCTTTTTGAATCAAAGAAGTCCATTTTAAAATTTGCTCTTTTTCCTGATCTGTCACGTATCTTGAGATGTCAACATCCTAGCCTTTACACTGACTTTCACATTTTTGTGTGCAAGGGTTTCTGTTTGCTTGTTTGTTTGTTCCACAAAGACCAACAGAAAAGAACTGTGATCTGAATTATCGCAAAAATATATACAACAGGAGACTTCAACTGTACAGGATTAACCCACCCAGGCCAGTCCAGGAATGGGAGGGAACCCTGTACTTTTACAGTACATTAAACAACAACCCAAGCGGTAGTCTATACCCTCTCTGGTTTTCAGAACCATATGCCACCAGAACCTCTACCGAAGTTCCCCCCAACCTGAGATTAGAGGTTCAAACTCTCAGTTGGTATCTGGAACTTAACACATTAGCAATTCACTCCCAGAGATGCACACTTTACGCTTAATGGTAGCTTGTGATCAGCTTAGGCACAGGAGGTTAAACTTGGAACTCAGGTACAACATCAGAGACCATTTAGAAACAAGAATAATTTTTTATTCAGTACAGAGTTTAACACAGACTACCAGAGTAGGAAGGACCAGAAGTCTGAAACACTGAATACTACCTAGGAAAAGTGTTGGATATCTACTCTGGACTTTATATTTTCCTTTCATGGATCCTGTGGGCGTCTGTATTTTCCTATGATGGATTGTATGCATAGATTCATTCTTGATTACATATGCATTTCACTGTGTTGAAGTCTCCTTTTGTATATATTTTTGCAGGTAATTCAGCTCACAGTTGTTTTCTGTTGGTCTTTGCTACTTCTTGCTGTGTGCTGTACTGTTGTTTGTTGTTTGTTTGTTCTGACCTGGATGGGCCGGGCCAGGCCGGTCTCATCAGATTTCAGAAGCTAAGCAAGGCCAGCCCTGGTTAGCATTTGGATGGGAGACCACCAAGGAACACCAGAGTCCTGACGCAGAGGCAGGCGAACCACCTCTGAATGTCTCTTGCCTTGAAAACCCTCCAGGGACACCATAAGACAGCTGCAACTTGACAGCCCTTTTCAACGCCAGAAGTGTATTGGGGAGGTGTTATGAATATCTCACACTGACCTTAATGGCCCAGGGCCTGGCTTGATCTTCAGGGAATCTCAGAAGCCAAGCAGTATCGTACTGGTTAGTTCTTGGATGGGAGACTACGAAGGAAGTCCAGTGTTGTTCACCACTTGCTTTGAAAACCCTACAGGGTCGCCATGAATTGCCTGTGACTTGACAGCTCTTTCCACCACCGTGAATAGCCAATCATGTGAGGCTCCACCTACATTCTGGAACCCCAGACACTGGCTGCCCATCTCAATGAGAACTAAGCTATTAAGGATTCGTTGTACAGCTCACTGTGAACAGCACAGAACCATTTGCTAGCAGTATCCTGTAGAACAATGTCCAGTTGGATAAAGAAAAGTGATACCCATATGCGGACTGTGTAATATGAAGAATTGGCTTAGACAATTGAATTATTTATTCATCAAGATTTCTTTCCCCCTCTCCCCACCAGCACTTCTGCTCCATTTGCTGGAGTGTTTGCCTTAGAGAATACGTGCATCTGGGAAGCCAGTCAGTGTGCGGACCGGGCCACTAATCACAAGGATATTATAATGAGTTTTTCATGGTCCATTGTCGTTTAGTTATCTTCGCGGAACTGCTACCCTCTATTTGCAAAATGTTCCCATTAACAGGAGCGTTTCAAAGACATGTGTATATATTTTGCAGCGTGTCATTTTCAAAGGTGGCAACGTTCCTTATGCAATAGACAGCATTTCTGGATTCGCAGAAAGCCAATTGTGTAATCGAGAGTAAACGTCCACCTCAAGGCATTTGACATTCATCAGGCTAAGATATTTGACTGCCTTAGAT